TGGACCCAATGGGAGTCTCGGCAATTTGATCAGTGGAAACAATGGGACGACCAATTCCAACAATGGGACGTTCGCAAGAGTTCAGGCACCAGTATACCCTACCCTCCACCTACACCTCAACCATCGGATGCACCGGGTGAACAATGATAGTGCGTTGTTTTTAGGCAAAGACTTTTATGCAAGACTTCATAATTATCAGTTTTATCTTTTGGATTTTGTTTGACTTATGGATGTGGTTTGTCTTTTTTGGATTTGTATTTTCTTATGGATTTGGATTGTCTTTTGGATTCGACATTTGATTTGGTTTGTCTTTCGTTTGTGGCTTTGACCTTGATATGATTGATATGATTCGCATTATAGATATTGTGATGTTTTGGCTATGATTTGCATTATAGGTATAACGATCGTTTAAGGTCGATTTTGTTGAAAAAAGACAAAAATTAGACCGATAACGAGTTTAATATCTTCATAATATGTTATACGACGAATTAAAGTCTCGTATAAGGTAGAATTGGTCGAAAAACAATCATAACGACTTTACATTCTTTATAACGAATAGACAGTCGTTATAGATGCTTTTCAACCAAAACGAGCTTTATTTATGGTTTTTCGATCGAAATACTTGATAACTCATGTATATTCATGTTATGAGTCACTAGAACGATAGTTTGAAGGTGCTAGACCGTCGAGACACACATAACGAACGAAGTTTTATTTATTTTTAAAAAATAACAAATGACAGACCCAGTGTCCAGGTCATCGCGGCCTCGACGGTTGTCGCGGGCGCGACACAATCAATTATAGATCAGTTGGCAGGTCGTCGCAGGCGCGACGACTGTCGCGGACGCGACATACAATGACAGAACCTGAACATAAAGAAATGTAACCAACGTTTATTGGAAAAAGCAACCCCAAAGATTTGGGACCAAAAGCGGTTAGCGGTGACCATGGAATAAGTTTCTTCGGCTTGAGTTGGGTTAAAAGCACGGAATGCATTTGCACCATCACCATCTTCAAATAGTCTTTTCGACGGTAGCACCATGAATAGCGCATAGCAAGGCAGCCCCCAATACACCGGCAACTCCCATCATATGAAATGGGTTTAGTTGAACATTATGAAATCCTAGAGTTTATTTTCCCAGTGTCGCGGCCGCGACACACGTCGCGGGCGCGACAAGGTTGTTTTTTTTTCACAAAATAACGAATATTTATTCGTTATTTCATACCAAAAACGATTATGTAATCGTTATATTGAATTAGCTATATGTCACGGCCGCGACGACCGTCGCGGGCGCGACATACAATGACAGAACCTGAACAGAGTTTATTTTCCCAGTGTCGCGGCCGCGACACACGTCGCGGGCGCGACAAGGTTGTTTTTTTTTTCACAAAATAACGAATATGTATTCGTTATTTCATACCAAAAACGATTATGTAATCGTTATATTGAATTAGCTATATGTCACGGCCGCGACGACCGTCGCGGACGCGACATACAATGACAGAACCTGAACAGAGATTATTGTCCCAGTGTCGCGGCCGCGACACACGTCGCGGCCGCGACAAGATTGTTTTTTTTTTTTGTCGCAAAATAACGAATATATATTCGTTATGTCATACCAAAAACGATTATATAATCGTTATACTGAAATAGCTATATGTCACGGTCGCGACAGTCGCGACACACGTCGCGGTCGCGACAGAATTTTTTTTTGTTTTTATTTTTCAAACGCCTTGTAATCGGTTCCTCTACTTATTTTCGGGAGCTCGACATCGAACCTCTTCGCTATTTATTAAATTAAAACTTCTCGTTACAGAAATTTTTTTAACCATTTTGATAAAAAAAACTACTATAACTACTGCATTTGTAAGTATGTATAAAATACAGCTTCAAAAATCGACCACCCATTACATTGAAAAACACATGAAAAATAACCATTACATTAAATAACCCATGAAAAAATAATACAACAATGTATCCAAAAGATCCATACAACTCGTTACATATTAAATGTTTAAAACAAACTATGGATCAAAATGAGCACCAAATATCTCAGCAGCTAGTTTTTCACGCCATGTACTTATACGAGATTGATCTACGTCTTCAACATTCTTCCCAGCATACAAAAATTCTATAAACTTGATTGTACACATCCCACAATCAAACCTGCACCATAAATGTACAAATAAAATTACTTTACCAAATTTCATAATACACTTAAAACTTAATGATCAAAATAC